AATAGAAGTTGGAAAAATAAGGAAGCAGCAGCAGATGCTCAATTCTTGAATGGGTTCTTGATTGCTGCTGTGATGATCTGAGGATATCAGACTTTCGCTTCTTCACTCTTCCAAAGCGGACTCTGCCACTGATTCTCCAGAAGGCTTTGGTCTTGGCCTAGGGTAGCACCATTGATCCCTCTTGTTGTGGGGCTTCAGCCTCTTGGACTGTGCAGTTACTGGTTCTTCTAGCTCTCCAGCCTGGAAAGCCACTATGGACTATCCAGCTTCTGGTCACATAAGTCAACCTAATAAATCCTCTTTTTATAATTATACTTCCTATTGATTCTGTTCCTCTAGAGAACTCTGACTAAAACAAAAGAGGATTAACTGTGGCAAATAATCTGACTCTTTAAACTTTTCCATGATAACTTTCATGGGAAAAATTTAAAACAAAACTTAAAAGGGGGGGGGAGATAAAAATATAACAATTTATATGGATAATGCCATTATGCTACCACACATAAATTTAAAAATTCTGCAGTGAAAATGAAGAATTTTGATACTTCCAATATTCTGCCATGGAGAAACTAGAGCAAATAAAACTACAATTGTCAACCTAATTCCCTTAAATGTGGCTGCCTATTATTAAAATATACACTTCAAAAAAAACAGATTAATAATGTAATGAAAGAGCACGTTCCTCTAAAACTAAAAAATTAGATAATCAAGTACTAAAACAATTACTTTAGAAATGACTACAACTTTAAAAGGACAGTAAGGTCCCCTAAAAGTCTGCTGATAATTAACTTTAATAATAATATATGCTGCCTTCAAATACCATCCATTTTGTCTCCTCTAGCCATTGTGTGGTAGACTTACACATCTGGAAACAAAATGGGTGGTGCTCAGGATTCAAACATAAATCATTTTAAGCTTCAATGGGTGATGTTGAAAGCAATAGGCAAATCAGAGTAGGAAAAGTCATAATCCAAATTAACTTCATTTATGTATAACATCTTATAATCTGCCAGAAATTGATATAAGAATGGCTGAATAAAATTTTTTCAAACACTTATTCTCTGGAATCAACCAATCTTTTTAACACTTGGCAGTACATCCCTTAATATTGCTGCCTATTATTCAAATATACATTTCAAATACTAGAGACTAACATACTGAAAGAGTACGTTCCTCTGAAACTTAAAAATGAGAAAGGTAATCAAATGCTAACACAACTATTTTAGAAATAATTTTCCAATTACACAATACAAGACAATGTGCTATTTTCTATGCATTATAGAAATATTTTAACTATTTTATATAAAATTTACTAGGAAAATATACAATGAATTATTAAATGTATACTACTTGAAATACCTTCTTTTGGCTACACACAGTAAAAAGAACTAACTTAGGGGACTTTACATACCTCTTAAACTTAGGCCTGTCTTTACAATATGACCACATCTAGTCAGACCAAAAGTGAATACCTGCTTAAAGAACAGGAAAACTACAGAAGGAGGTAGCCAGCTGTTCAAAAGTTGCTATGTTGAATACCTTCAAGACTAGCTTATTCTGGATAATAAATTATTAGGAAACAGGGAATCTAAAGGTAGACATGCAGCATGATCTAAAAGAAAGAAGTACCTTATGAAAGAACGAAAACCAAAATAGTGGTCTTGACACCCATTATAAAATTACACTTCTCTATTCCCACATTGACTTACGATCACATTATGTACACATAATATGTGATTTCTTCACATAATAATCAATGCCCTCCCAAATGCCCTCCTTAAAAGATATGTTTTATGCCTTGATTTAGCAGTATTTGTTATCTCTGGGGTTTTACTTTAAAGCGATTGTTAGCTAGACATGAACACATTAAAAAGAGCAGACAGATAATTGCTATTGGTTGAATGGAAGAAAATTACTCCATACCCTTTCCCAAATGCATCTTTCTGCCTCCTTCTCTCTTTTTCTTTTGTTTTGTTTTATTTCCTTTCCTTGCATGGGTTAGGGTGGACCTCCCTGATTCCTTACCTCCTTCTCTTATTCCTAATTTCAAAGTAGCTTCCAAAGCACTTCAAATCTACAGGAAATCTCAAACACTGGGGACAAGGGGAGAGGGGTAGTGCCTCATCTATTACTGCTGTACCCAAGGCTCGTAAGTTCTTTCGAAAAGAGAAACCTGAGCAATTAGAACTTTAGAACAGTGAAATGTAAATAGATATTTCTTGTTCTTTTGTTTTTTCCCCTCACATTAAAGCCTCACATTAAAGCCTTCTTTAAGCAACTGGGAATTAAGTATGGAATTTAGGGAGCAATAAGTTCATAAAAAGCGCTAATCAAATCTTAGAGATTATCTGGTTCAAACTTATTTTAAGATCCTGAACCATTTCAAAGACTTATCTAAGGAACCACATGTCAGCAACAGAGCAAAAAAATAAAATAAAACAAAGGCATTCTATCCATCTACAACTACAAAAAAATAAAATAAAATAAAATTTTAAAAGAGGGGGGATTCTTAAAAAATAAAAAATGTGATGCACCAGCTGGGTACAGTGGCATGCGCATGTAATCCCAGTGGCTCAGGAGGCTGAGGCAGGAGGATTTCGAGTTCAATGCCAGCCTCAGCAATTTAGCAAGGCCCTAAGCAGGACCCTCTTTCAAAATAAAAAAATTAAAAGGACTAGGGATGAGGCTCAGTGGTTAAGCACCCTTGGGTTGAATACCTGGTACAAAAAAAAAAGAAGGGGAGAGATGCATCAAAGTAAGAATGAATTGTAAAACTAGAATCCACCTCTACTCATTTTGAAGATAAGCAATTTTGCAGCATGGAATGTTGACATTAATTATCCAATATCACTCAGAAAAGCAATACTACTTCCAGTTCTCGGTGGACACAATAGTTTTAGTTTTTAGGTGGATACAAAATCTTTATTTTACATTCATGTGGTACTGAGGATCGAACCCAGTGCCTCGTGCATGCTAGACAAGCACTCTATCACTGAACCACAACCCCAGCCCCTTACTTACATTTTTGTAAATGAAAAACAGTGACTATATGCCTGAGAAAGAGGGGAAAAATTTTTTTGTTAAAAATCAATGAACATTCAAATTTTCTGTTTGTACCTGAAAATCATCAACAAGTTCAGGGAAGAGGTGTTCATACATTTTTAGTTCTTCTATTGTTCGTCCTGGTACTTGCTGGGGTTTTAATTTGTTGATATCTGTTTCAATATCATCATTCTGAAATAATTAAAATAGCATGTCAACAGTTTTAAAAAATACAAAAATTACAGAATACACTTCAGATTTAAATGTTACAAATTATTAATTACATGTAATTTAGAATACCATTGAAAAAGATTGTATTGACTTTATCTCAAATTCAAATTTGCTTACTCTTTTTTTATTGTTGAATTTTGCTTAATTTTGGTCATGGTTATTCTAATATAACAGGATACTTGGACTTCTCAAGACAAATACCTGTGTTAATAAGACCAAGATTAAGTTTGTTCTCCTCAATCTCCCTAACTGCCCTCATGTTGGACTTATTAAAGGTTAATAAAACTTAGGAAAATGAGGAGCTGGGGCTATAGCTCAGTGGTAGAGCACTTGCCTCAGACATGTGTGGCACTGGGTTCAATCGTCAGCACCACATAAAAATAAATAATGTTACTGTGTCCTTCTACACTAAAAAGTAAATTTAACAAAATATTTTTTAAAAACTTAGGAAAACGAAATTGAAAAACATGTATATATAATGAAGGTGGCAATAATCAAAATAGCTAACATTTATTAAACACTGAAAATACATGAAGCACTACACTAAGTATTTTATACATATTATCTAATTTAATCTACATATATAAAAAACACTAATGAAGTAGTATCATTAGCTCCATTTAACTGAGAAGGAAAATGACATTAAGAAAAGTTAAGGAGCTTGCTAAAAGTTACACATCTTACAAAGAGGTAACCAGAGTGCAAAATTTGTCAAAGTGATCTGAAAACAAACACCATACACAGCTAAGTAAGTAAGATGTACTGCCTCAATATCAACTAAGAATTATCACCCACTTTAAAACTCTCTGGTAAATAAAGTTCCCTTAGAAAAACTCAGTGTTGCTATTCACTGTTTTTCAAGGTAGAAAGCTATTTTCTAACAACTCACCCCTTACAAATACAAAATCATCATTACCTCCACAGATCACTAAAGAGAGATATAATAAGACCACGTATTACTTTTCAGTTCATACTATTTTTAATTTTCTATTTATCTTAGTACCAAAATAAATTACTTTTTAGTATTACAATAAACTTAATTTAATACATTTCAATCCTTATATACGTTTCTGACTATATTTACACATAACTAGTAATTTAAAAGGAAAAATATACTGTATATTTCTTGTTATTTCATATCATGGATTTAGAGGTTATTTACATAACAATGAATGAGATTTTTCTCATTGCCATAAATAATAAAAATTGATTTTATTTAAATAATATTGTTAGTATATCATCACTGTATAATTATTACTACATGAATGTCATTTCATCTGTTATGCATTTATGAACCAATAATGTAATTATTTCTTTGATTAACATCTAATAAGAAAGATAATGATTCCAAAATAAAATAATTAACAAAGGTAGTTTTTCTCTGAACACACTCATTCAATATTTAAAGTTATTTTGTGAAAATAGAGCCTTCCTTTGTATAGTAGCTGTCTAATATAAAAAATGAAAATTACTATAATAAAATAAGTATAGTGAGAAAAGAAAACTATTACTCTGAAAGCTCAATAGCAGGAAATTTTCTATTTGAGTTTGAGGAAAAAACAGAAGAGCTACTGATAGGCTCATCAAAAACAAACCGGCCTGCTACTACTCCTTAAAATTTTCCAAAGTTAAGAAAGGAACAAAGAATGTACTGAAGAAGTCTGTGCCTATCTGGAGATGTCTTCTAGAATCTCCAGGTTTCTATAAACACTCCAGACTGTAAAATCTGGGACAAACAAAATAGAATCATGATGAAGAAAGAAATCTGAGACTACAATCACAAGAGAATACAAATAAATATTATAACCACTACAATGTAGCAGTTCAACAGAAGCACAAAAGAAGTTATAAGATTCAGGTAAAAATAGGAAAAATGAGGAAATTTCCAGTGTTAACAGCCAAAAAAGTAAAAGGCAGCAAAAGAAAAGGGAAGAAAGGAAATTAATACAGCTCAGCAGTCTCAAAAAGCCAACAATTCTGTAGCCCTTGAAGAAAAGTAATATTTTAGTAGACTTATACAGCAGTAGTAAAGAGCCAGCATTCCACAGACTACTTTCTGAATCCTGGCTCTATCTCTTAGAAGTTAGACTGATAATGTCTCAGGGCCTCTGTTTTCTATACTGTTATGAGGATTTCAAGGTTAACATATGTAAAGACCTTTGACTAGCAAGGGTAGAGTGTTCAGTAAATATTACTACTATTTTTATTATAACTGGTGTGTTAAGGTAAAGTAGGGAAAATTTTACCAATCACTGACACCCTAGTTGTAAGTCAACAACTCTAGTTTTCAAAAATATCAATGTCACAAGCAAAGAAATCTATGCAAATTAAAGGTGACTAAGTAGACAGGACAAGTGACAAAATGTAATACAGATGACAGATTAGACAAGTGTCCCTGTAAACTTATGAATCTGTTAACTATATATGGTTATATTGATGTATTTATGAAAAAAACACCAAGATCAATGATACATGCAACATACTCGCAAATAGTAAAAAAATATTTTAAGTGTGTTATTTGTGTGTATATGTCTACAATTTTCCAGAAGCAAACTCAGTTGCTGTTATAATTCCTATTGAGTTTTATTCCTCACCAATTTCTGTCTTTATATCTCTGATAACAGATATTTGAAATAAGAACTCTGAGACATGAAATATGAATTATACTGAACATATTTTGTTTTTAATAGATGTGAAAATATGTAAGAAAGACTCCTATTAAGAGGCAATATTTTAAAAGTTATTCTGGAAAATGTGGTATTAAGCTAGGAAATTTTACTTCCCCCAAATACTCACTTTCCAAAGAATCCAGATTACATTTTATATAGCTCATCTTATCTAAGGCACATTTTTATAGAGAGAATTTAAATTCTAACTGGGATTCTAATAGTTCTTTCTCTTATATCAGGTTCAGAGCCAAAAATGTGGTTCCCCCAAATGCCTTGACCATCAAAGCCTGAACTATTTTCCTTCTTGAGGTCAGATGCAGACATTGACTTGGCTAATTTGATAATTCTGCCAAAGCATGCCTTGGTGATCACATCTGGTTCTACAATGAAATTGATAAAACTGGTTCTATATTCTATATTTGCTATTACAATAGAAATTTTCAGTATCTTTAATTCAGGAGTGTCGAATACTTACTTAGTATGCCCCATTTTTAATGCAATATTTCAAGATCTAAAAAGAAAAAGCCTAAGCAGGCAGGAGTCTAAGCCTCCCTCGCCAGAAAATCATACTACGCAATAAGCCAAACAGTTTAAAAATTAAAGAGACCATTTTTCTACAGATGTTATAGTAGCCCCCTTTACCATTAAATAACACAGAGCAGTTTCTAAGCTTTCAGAAGTGCCATAAAATTCTGATACCCACCTGCTTATTTTACCTACATCTCTTGTAATATGACAATAATTTCACATTTTCTCAATTCAGGAAATAGTTCCTATCTTTTGCAATTAACTAAAACCTAAGAATCGTTAAGTAAACACAAATTCTAACAAAAATGCATCAGTTTTAGATTATACTTTCCTACTATTTTTATATCCCAGACTGTTGATGAAGAGTAATGCATTTTGAAATAAGTTTGCAAAATAGAGTCTCAAACTTTAGATCTTAACCTTTCCTTAGATTTCCTTAAGTTTCAAAATCTAAGTAAGAGGGTTAAATAAAATCTTTCTGGTCAAAAACAGTGAAAAAATTTTCTTTAGGGTCTGTTTCAGATCAGTGGATTTAAAGCAGCCTTAGTTTTTCAATTACTTAGTGTTCATTATAAGTTATAACAAAACAATATGGATTAAAACAAATTGGTCTACCATTATGTGTGCGTGTGTGTGTGTGTGTGTGTGTGTGTTTTTCCCAAACCTTTGTTTTACAACTAAAGTATATAATTTACAAAGGTGACTAATAAAAATTTACTAACCTTAAAATTTTGATCTAGGTCATCTTCATTTTCCATCTCACTTTCAGCTTCTAAATCAATATCATCGTTGTCATCACTTTCATCTACTACGTCATCCACTGTGATACAAAATGTGCTATAAGTAAGCATTCTACAATATGCACATTCAAAGCAGAATGTTATATACATGAAGTATTTCAATAATAAAAATAAATGAGATTTCTTACTAAAAAAGTCACTAAGGCTCAACCAACTATTGAAAAAACCTATGAGATAGTATGTGAAAGTGCTTTTAAATTTAGCAAATATTACAAGAATAAATTAGTTTTTTTATTAATGTTCTCAGTTTAAAGAAAAATAGTAAATGTCTTATCTTACAGTATCCTGAATGAAACATCCTGTTTCCTATTTAGGATAAATTTCAATGACACACTTCATCCTTTTATAATTACCCTCCTGTTTATTTCAATAACTATGTGCCAAATACTATGTTGTATGTAAGAAATATTTTTAGAGATGTGTTAATATAATCTCTACCCTCAGGGAGCTCATGAGGCTTGAGAGCAGAAAGAGCAAAGAAGTAATTATAAATAAAGAAGAAAAATGTTACTGAAGGCATAAAATTCAAAATTCTATGGGAAAACAAAGATGTAATAACTAACCGCAAACTGCTTAAAGCTAAGGGATTGATCACTTCACAGAACAGGTGGTACTTAAGCAGTAACTCAAAGTAAGTATAACAGATTTCTAAGTAAATATAAAGGTGGGTATGTATGGTTTTAAGAAGAAGAAATAATAATTCTAGAATAAGGAAATAAGATGATATCTTTGGAATATAACGAGTAGGATTAGCATGCACTATCTGATTAGGAAAGTACTAAAAGGCAAGTAAGAATAAGAAAATGAAGATTATAATAATGTAAACCATAGTTTAGATTTTTTTTAACCTACAAAATATAAGCACTGAGGATTTTCAAGAGGAAAATGGTTTAATTCAACTTGCATTTTCAAATGATCATTCTGGAAGGTGTGAGAGAGGGAGCATATGAGTGGAGCAAGGCCAATTAATAGAAGGGAAGACAAAACCTAACTAAAACAATATTAACAATAATAGGAATGAAGGAAGAATACACATTAAAGAAGAACTCAAAGAATAGAATGTAAAAAAAAGAAAAAGAAAAACAAGGTCCATGGATGTGGGGAAGACAAGGGAAAAACAGCAAGAGTACTTTGAGGTTTCTCATGTAAGCATCAGTGCTTGTAAACAATACAGAAAATATTTGTTTAAAGATATCTCCCCAAATTCTTTTGACTTCCATTTACAATGTGCTATATATAGTAAAGATTATTCACTATCCCTTTAGAATCTGCTCTCCTTTCCTTTCTTTTACTAACAGAACCTCTGCAACAGGGATTCCAGCCTCCAATGCAGTATTTACAGTCATTCATATGAATGATTTTTGGCCAAGGGTGAATGATGCAAAAATACAAATCACAGGTCCTATTCTTTAAAAAGAAAATTGTCCTCACCCTTCTTTTTTTTCATTCCCATTTTCCACATACACATGAGAAAACCACCATAGGAAATAATTAAAAACATCCTTTGATGACCTAGTACAACAGAGGTCTACTGCCTAGGTTATAGGCAATCTTCTTCATACACATTTGAAGGAGAAAAAAAAAAAAACTTTCTAACTTGAGGTAGCATAGCAAAGGGGATCTGGGGACAGAATTCCTGTATTCAAAACCTGGCTACCCAACTTACTGGCTATTTGATCTTAAGCAGTCACATAAGTTATTTGTATCTTAGTTTCCTCATCTAAAAAAAAAACGAATATGCTGACTCCCAATGTTCTTGTATTGTAAGACTTAATATGTAAACTTTCAGGCAAAGACTGTGTTATAAAAATTTTTATGATAATTATTTGTGTAATATGCTATTGGGCTACTTTAACAGTATCAAATTGTCTCAAATTCTTTTCTGAAATAACAAAAAAATGTGTATTTATATTGCATATGGTAACCTGGGTCTATTTATACCTATACCCTAACAACAGTCAATCATGAATAAACAAGAACTGACATTTGGAGAAAGAGAGGGAACAAAGAACATCTTAGGAAAAAGTTAAGGGACTGAATTCAGTAAAGCCTACTGTAAACAGGAAAAATTATTTCTTGGACAGTGAGAAAGGAAAATACAGTTTAGCTTCTGAGACAAATTATGTTTTTAATTTTTATCCAAAACTTTTCTAATATTTCCTTTATATAGTATTTTCCTTTGGGTTTATAACCCAAATATGAAATATCAAATATCATACAGCTTAGAGTGCATGAGATCTTCTATTCCAAACATGCAATGGAATTCTTATAGCATTACCAATAATTAATAACATTAATTACTGTAGTTTAATCAAAAAATTAAAACCAGGGAATATACATCAAAATTCTGATTACTCACTTCTAAAATATCTGTATCTTGTTAATATGAAAAAGTGAAATATAGGAAACAAATATCTTTTAGTAAGAAACTAGTTAGATAAATTATACTACATCCTTATAATGTAACATTGAAAGAAATGAGTCAAACTTTCTTGCAGACAAGTTATGTGCAAGTTTTCATTGAGCATAAACTATAACAATTTGGGGGATTCAGTTTTTTTCTAACTTAAAAAAAAAGTTCACTAATGTGCAACAAATGTAAACCTAAACATAATTACCAAAACGTTTAATGTTCTTAACTTATATTTTGAGAATTTATATAAAGTATCAACTAATGTTCTTAAGTGATATTTAAAGTTTCCCATAATGGACATTTACATATATGTAAAACATCCTATGCTATTTCCCTAAATTAGTAGAGTTCAATTTCTCATATTAAAGAAATATTTATTAACTAAAATAATATGTAAAGGTTTATCAGGTTCATTAAAACCCTCTTTGCCAAATAATTAGGCACAAATAAAGAAAAACTATCAACAGACACACCGCTCCAATGGGAGACCTGTGGTCCTACCTTCAGGTGGTAAACTGTACAACTGTGCCACAGGTCCAGTAACAGGAATAACTGGCAACTGGAAATGGAAAGAACTCTTAATCGTTGGGAGTGGCAGGCGATTTTTGGGGAAACACTTCCTCATTATAAGACTGGAGGTGTTGACAAGAGGATCAAGAGTCCTGACTGCCAAACATTCCTGTTTAAAAAAAAAAAAAAGACAATATATCTTTGGTGAGTAGCAAAACCAATTGTACTTTATTCCAGAAAAAGAAAATTAACGTTAAAAATTTTCTAGAGACAAACATCACAAAAACCAATATTACAACACAGGATAATTGTAAAACAGCTTTACTGTTCACAGTTTACTGTGTCTATTTATAAACAGGAATATCACGTAGGGCAAATTTAGTAGAACTTTTCCCTAAACATCTTAACTATGCAGAAGTCAGTACCATTTTTGATACTGAAAGTCACCATAGTACTATAAATAAATTATTTAGGGGACATGAAAAGGGGGAAAAATATTAAGAAAGTAAGAAATATAAGCAAACATGCATTTGCCTGAAATGCTCTCAGAACTATATCAATTTTCATACAATGCACCTCTCATAAGTTGGCTATTCAGCTTACGCAAGAACAGCCTAAATATACTAATTTAAAAATTTAAGAGTGATTTGCTGCCAGAAAATCACTCTTAAATTTTGAGAAGGGTAAAGACATAGGGGATTTCAATTATGTCATATTATATTATTATTAGTTAACAGCTGACATTCAGATGGCACTTTTGATACATAGTAAAATTTTCAATACACAGTTTCACATTTGATCTGTCAAAACAAATGAGAAATTAAGGCCCAAAAATATTAAGTCACCTAACTCTTCCTCATAATATCAAATATCCATCATAGTCTGGACTAGGAAGAGTAAAAACAGGTATATATATATGATTGCTCTAAAAAATACTAAGGGTAAACATAAAACATGTGTTTGGACATTTTTAACTATTGTCATGTAGAAAGATGATTTATCATGAGTAAAAGCCAAGACAGCACAACCAGGATAACTATCTGGCATTTTCTAAAGGACAAATTTATGAACTTCCAAAAACAAGAGGGTTGCATTACAACATTCCTATAGCCCATACCTGAGTCTTCTACAGATGCTAGAAAACATCTCACTAAATATACTATCAAAAATGTTTAATGCTGAAGATGGCTGGCAGAACTAGAACTCCAGGTTTCCCTACAGTAGCTTCTCTATTTATTCTTATTCTTACTTCCCAGCAGGAAAATAAGCAGAATACTCAAAAACAACAGAATTGCCCTAAGAGCTGTATAGGATCTACATAAACTGAGTTATTACAGCTGACTACACATTCTAGAAAGTTATATGGAATCCAATAGGTGGTTTTATACATCTTCCTTTAATCTTTTGGGGACAAAATATCACATTGCAGAGATGTGAACTGACTACCTTCTCAAATTCAGTCTGAGTTCATATGTGAGAAATGATTGTGCCTTTTGGTTTTGATATTTTTTAAATATAAATATATATCATATACCTTTTCTGACTATTTGCAAATTAATTTTCTTAAGAACCAAACCATATCACTAGAACATAAGTAGAGTAATAGTAAGAAAATAACTCACTTGTGAAGTGTTATACAGAATTTTCATCCCATTGGCATCAATAAATGCTTTTCTTCCCAACTTGATGTTTGTAACACTTTTTAAGCTCTGTAAAATTCCTTTCCGAATGAGCATGTTTCTATGCCGATTATCATGGCGATGCCAATCTACATAAATTGTTAAAAGCACTTGGACATATCCTCTGTCTACAGCTCTCCTGGCATTTGTTTCTTTAACAAAAGAAATTGAGAAAGAATATTTTTTAAATGACAAGAGAAAGTACTGGAATAAATCAAATTAAAAGTATAACCTCAACTGTGATGAAAGGCAACTACATATTTAAATATGTTTTTCTAAGAAATTAAATATGACAAGTTCCAGAAAGCATTACGTTTTCCAGAAATTTTCCTGCCCATATATTATTTAATGATTTCTAAATACCAAAATTCTTCATTAAATTATGTTTACATCTTTTTAAACCAAAAAAACTTCCTATATTTTAAAACTTATGAATATACTGACAATAAACCAAATGAAATGTATAAGCTTTTAACTTACTAGCTGTGAATATTATTTTGTTAAATGCTGTTATCACTTTTATTAACTTCTGTCACAAAATTGGTATTCCCAATGAAATTACCACCATTAAAATGTAATTCCTATACAAACTTTGTTTCCACTGAAATTAATTGCTCTAGTTATCCCACAATTATATAAACATCCATGCCATAACAATACTAAGTTAAAAATACTTAAACAACTTTGCAGTAAATGAAAGGGAAGGAGCATTACATGATTAGAAAATAGTCATTCGAGGAATTAAATTTTGAATATAATGAGAACTACATTAAAGGTTTTCTGTAAATGATCAATTTGATTGGGATATAATTAACAGAAATGAATCCACAAATTCAACCTAATTTTATTATTTTTAAAGTATTAATATTTAAAATTATTAACCAAAAGAGTGCATTTTACTAAGATAGAAGCAAAGAAATTATATCATAGCAACATATTGAGCCACCCAGTGTTACTTTGGAGAGTAGATAATAAAGGTTACAACTTTGAATATTGTTCCATCTCATGTTGTTTAACTATAATGAAATTCTGATTTCTTTTTTTTCCCCCCTCTCTTTTTTGCAGTGCTGGGGATTGAACCCAGGGCCTAGTGCATGCTAGGTAAGCACTCTACCACTAAGCTAAATCACCAGCCCTCTAGTCTCTTCTTAATCTCAATTTCACCCACAAAATGACCTCTGATCTATGGCCTGGACATGAAGAAGATAATGATTTGAGTTGCCAGAAAGAATTTTCTATTGTCCAAGTAAGCCAAAACTGAGATAAACATACTAATTCCCTTTCAGAACTACATTCTGTTATTAAAGAAGGAAGAAACTCATCAAGGGAAGAAACACCTCTTTCATATGTGAAAGCTTTTAAATCCCTATTGTAAAAATTGCTAATTTACTAAGGCTGTGGCTATTTACAAAATCCATTCAATTGGATTTTTTGTTTTGTTTTGGGTACCAGGGATTGAACTCGGGGACACTCAACCACGGAGCCACATCCCCAGCTCTATTTTGTATTTTATTTAGAGATGGGGTCTCACAGAGTTGCTGCTCAGGGTCTCTCTCAATAAGTTGCTGAGGCAGTCCTTGAATTTGAGATTCTCCTGCCTCAGCCTCCTGAGCTGCTTGGATTACAGGAATGCTCCACTGTGCCTGCAGTTCAATTGTTTTGACCAACAAACATTTCATATATTTAAATGAATATATACTTTGTTTATACCAACTGAAATTTACAAGCCTTTACTAGCTGTAAACACGATTTTGCTAAAAGCTACTATGATCACTGTAACTATTACAAACTATGTGTTTTTGTGGGAATTCCCAATAGTCCAAATGGTCTTCATGAAAAATGTTTAAATTCTTTATGAAAGATCAAATAAGAAACTTAACTACAATTCAAAAATGTACTGAGGTGATCCTTAAAGGAAATTAACAGAGCCACCTACAGTCTGCACTGAGCACAATTAAAACAGATTATACAGGGATTTTTATTCATGTGTTCAGGGCACACAACTCACTATTGGCCTATTTCCTCATCTCTAATTAAAAGAAAATTTAAGTTTACCAGCACTGATAACTGAACTATCTATCCACATTTATTTCAGTAGTCAAATTTATTCTTTTAAAGTAAATTATTGTTGCCCCACAGACAAAAAAAGGAATTTTTAAAAATATAAATAAGTAAAAATGCTCCAAAATGCAATGGTCCATTTAAATAAATGTAATGTGCTACTAAATATTATTTTGTATTATTAAATTTCATCTTATTTAATGTCATATATAATTTCAAACTACATTAAATATAAACCACTTATCAATTACTTTTTTTATCCTGATAGACTAAACAAGTATGTCTACCCAGCATTCTTCTTTAAAAAGAAGAGAGGGTATAAAAGGAAGACTATTATTTAAAACTGAAAAACATCAGACTTCAATCATCTTAGGTTAACCAATTTCTACAAAATATTTGAAACTTCTGAGAGTTTTAGTTTGCACTGACTCAGAATTAATAACTCTGTTATCAATGATTCAGAAAATTAGTATGCTTTAATAAACTTTTAAATAGCTATTCTAATCCATTTCAAATCAGATTTACTCTTTATACAATTTGAATTACAAAATCAGAGACAACAAAGCAAGGTGACAAATAATCAGTAAATTCATATATGTGATCTTGGTTTAAAGTTTACCATATCACATGAAAATAAAGCTACAGAGTCAACCTACATGAGTATCGTGTGTTTCATTTCAAGAGTAAATTTGTTAAGTGAAAACTCAGGTGTATAAATACTATGGTGATTTCTGAAATTTAATAAGACATTACTTTACTAAATATCAGATTTTAAATAATTATTTGCTAGTATTTAAAAAAACAATTCTAACAATTCAGATTTAAGGGCAAGTAGGTCTCATCCTTGAAAGATCTTGAATAAATGCCTATCTTAGGAGGAGGGAGAAGGGAACTCCATCAACAGGTTAAATGTTAAGACTCAAATGTTAATTTATTCAATCAATCATCCATAAGACTAACAATGGGGGATTTGAGGGGTGGGGGCAGTGAACTGGGGATTGAACCCAGGGTCTTGTACATGCCAGGAAAGTGCTCTACCACCAGGCTATATCCCCAGCCCTGAATATGAAATTTAAAATAGATACTGAAAAAAAATGTAGAGGGGGGAAAAATGATTATTCTCCAAAAGCATCATAAGACACATTCTACTCTAATGCCTTAATTGTTAAGATAAAGTAATTTATTTTCTAAATAAATTTTTTAGGCTATACATCTACATTAACAGCCACTTTTTAAATGTTATCAATTTGAATTTGTGCAAGAAATAAAATTTTGTATTAAAAGGCTCTAGGTTAAAATCATGTGCTATATAAAGAGTACAACTCATAGTAAAAGTTATATTTCTCATAATAAAAATTCTCAATATCATGTTAGTTTTACTCTTTTGATAAATGATATTTATTTATTTTACTCTACTAATATAGCTTCATGTTTATATAAATACCTTAGAAATAGGAAATCAATGTGCTTAATTACACAAATGTACTGAACAAATTATAACTCAAAAAACATATAGCATTAGTAATATATATCAACTGCACTAGAAGATGAAATCAATTTCAACAATAGAATATTAAAAATCAGCTTTAAAACTAAACTAAATCTACATTTCCAGTTTCTTTAACATAGTAAATAGAATGCTCAGGAAAATAGTATCTAGTATTTCTAGTATTTAAAAACTTACTTGATTTTAGCAATGCAGCAAGAGTGTCTAAAGCAACCCTGTCAACACAACAAGAAAACACAAACAACAACAAAACTAGTAAAATTAATCTACAATAGTAAATTCATACAATCTTCTCAGATAAGTAATTCTATTAATCTATTCCAAACTTATTCTTGTTAAGAGCATCAATTACATATGGTGTTTCTCCATATTCATTTTCCCTTCCGCTTCAAATTAGATATGAAGAAGACTGAAACAGTAAAAGTACCAAAAATTTTTAAGAAAGAAAAAGAAGAAAATTAACATTGTCTAAGTCTTTATGTCAGAAGTTACATGAATGATATGTATCACTGACCCTGAGAAAATTCACAAAGAAACCATACTATCAAGAATCATTGGCCCTGGCTTGTAAAAGTAGTAAAAGAAAAACAAGTTTCAACAGATTAATTTCATAACTGCAAAATTCTATAGATAATTTCTTAACTTTCTGACATTAAAGTGTTTCAATTCTATCAAGCTATCATCCTCATATTTAAGTAATACAACAAGTGTAAAACATTTTGGAACTGAGAAGTTTGGAAAAGAAGAATGAGCCCTTAATGTCTGTCAGCCATGAGGCACCAAAGAAAGTAACTATTATCTCAAAAATTCTTATATCCACAGAGAAGACAAAGGAATAGTCCTAAAAATTGAATATACATATATTATATTTTTGAACATAAATACTCACAGTGAAATCAGCTGCCATTAATCAGCTATAAAAATATATATCACTGTGGAAAACCTGTAATTCAAGTTGTTTTTTAAAAATAAATTACTGAAAAAATGACAATTTCAATAATTTTTAAAATGCAAGGCTATAAACTATAGTACCTTTAAGTGAGAAATCAACAACTACAGTTAATTTATATTAAAAATATGTATGCTATCAAACTTAACTAAGCATTTCACTCACAATTAAGCATTTGTTGAATGCCTACTAGACACCCACAGTACCAAGTTCTTCATGGGTATAAAATTTAAAAACAAGCTCATCTCTTCAACAGGTAATTTTACAATCTACATAATGTAATAAAATATGTACCTATTAAAAAACTACTCAGGAGATTAAAACCAAAAACGAGGCAATAAAGTAAAAGTTGCATACGTTAGTGATAAAATAGAGGCAGCATGACCAAATGCAGGAAAAGGTAAAGAGCTAATGAATCAGAAGATTTAAGATGGACATTGGTTCACAGTAATACCTGAAACAATCATCCATGACTACATACCAAGTAAATACTCAGCAAAAGACCAGTAAAAGGAAGTTCTTAATAGTTACACTTTAGTTTGACACAAATAAAGCAAACGTGAACCTTTATTTATAATAATATTTGTAGAGTAAAAATTTTTTAAAATATCATAAATTTATACCTATAATTTTCTCAAAACAATGTGAAATGTTGGTAATGGTGAGTTAAAAGTAAATGAACATTCTGAAATTATGTGTTGAATTTTCATTGCATTGAACAAATCATCAGTAAGGAGCTGTCATATTTTATAGTTGTGCAATAAAATGCACAAAAGAGTGTTTAAAACTATCAGAATAAGGATGGAGAGTGATATTAAAATGAGTCAAAATTAAATATAGAACTAAATAGATCTTCGAAATGAACCTGTTCTTTATAAAAACTAAAATGGAAAAGAAAATGACATTCAGTAAAACCTGAAAAATGCCAGATAGCATTGTAGGTTCTTTAATTCTTCAAACAGTTCTGGTCTACAGAATTGACAATGAACACGGAAAATTTAAAAAAATTAAAATATGACATGCCTAGAGCCAAATAAAAACTTAATGGTATGGAAATTGAATACTATAAGGTATTTATTGAGAAAGGAATTACAAAATCAGAAAGGCCTCCCTTTAAGGCAACCAGACCCACAAAGTGAACAAGGCTGGACTCCACACACCTCCAACCCACTTCACCTGTGGTCCTTCAGGCAGCTTCCCAGATTCACACAGTCTCCTGGGGGCCACGGTAAGGGCCCAAGGCCCATACACAGGGCAGTGATGATCATGGTTGGCTAGGCTATGGTCCTACCAGGGCAAGCCAGGGCACTGAGGGAGCACCTTCTGTCTTGGAAGTAGCTACCTATTCAGGTGATGAGGAAGACTCATCACCCAGCATAGAAGGCAGCTGCCACTGGACACCTCCATTACTTGACCACAAGAAGCGCTAGGGCTTCACTTAGAGTTTTAAGGCTTCTGCAGCCCTGCCGCCACTCTGGACCCTGCCTCTGCCTCTTCTGGAATGATTTGTGGATTTTGACTCCTGTTACTGTAACCTGCAAATCCAAGAGACACATCAATCTGGAAGACAAGAGAACTGCTTCTTCAGAATCAAAAGAAGACTGGCGTGCTACCTCTGGGGAATTCCCAGAGGCATACCTTGCCATACCTGGAGCCAAACAAAGAGTGTGCTTGCTAGAAAGGCTTCCTGTCAGTTGTGTAGAAGACAGAATGACATTCTGACTCAAGGGGAAGCTGTGCAGGTTCACAACCAATCAGTGCCATCTCACCTTCAAAGACTGGGGACATACTGTGCAGTCCTTTTTGTAGAAGTGAGAAGTACAAGATTACTCTGCAAGAAGAAGATTCAAGGGACTTAAAAACACAAAGGCTTGCACATTGGTAGCCCTCTGAAATGTTGACAATCAGGATCTAAAAAAAAGTTCTATATTAAAGTTATGGAATTTATGTGAAAGTAAATGTCAC